GAATATGTGACTTTTTATCCACAAACACGAACGAACAATGTGACTCTGTCTACATTCACTTGAATGTAATTTCCTTATATTGTTTTTAATTCTTGACATTTTGGTATGAAAAAGCAGGAGTTTAAAGGCGATATTCTGTTTCCCCCAATTACAATGACTGACTGAGGTTAAGGTTATTTAGCTTCTTTGTATCGCATTTAGTGCTATCGCTAACCGAAATGACAATTGCCTAGTTAGATTTGCCAATCTTAGGTGGAGGATTTGTTCCACATATTGCTGCGGTTAGCTTCCGTTAAATTCTCTCATTTGCTCCAGAAAAATTATTTAATGCTATTTACATGCTTGTGGGTACGGATCGGAAGTCCTAGGTTTTTTTACTCGCGACTTTGTAAGAAATACTGCCTACTTTGTTTAAACGCATGGAGAAAGCAGTGCGCCAACAGTAAATTATTTTAAAAACATTTATTTGCGGGATGCGGCCGAGGGTTGGCCAGAAAAAGCCGCCGAAGGCCGGATGTATCGTGACAGTTCAGTCGCTTTTTAAATATATATCGAAAGTAAGGTTTACGCTCTTGCCTTACTTCGGAGAAACGCTCAGTGTTTACTATAGCGTCGATTTTGTTCATTTTTGTCGCATGAACGTTAGATTGTGACGTTGTTGCTTCCTTGTTTTGTAGCATTATAGATGTTTTGAATATTATTTTTGTCAGGTTGCTCTGCATTTCTATAAACCTGACCGTACAGGGTTGTCAAGATTTGTTCACAACCCAAATGGGTTGAGCAATGGGGTTGCTCGATCACACGGATCCGTGTGCAAGTGCACAGTGGAGCGCTTTATACAGCTCCGTTCACGCAAACTGCCGGTGTAGTCGTAATTCAGCTAAGTTCTTACTTTGTTTAAGCGCCCCGGTTTACCGTCAAATTAACAAATCCTTAATTTTAGCATTTCTCACGTACATTTCTTGCGCGTACATCCGTCTACCCTGGCGTGACTGGTTCTGCCCCGTGTTTTTATAAGATTCTAGGCTGTTACTGTCTCATAATATCTAAAAATTGTATATTTCCACAGTAGTATTGAAATTACTTACCCAGGCCAACAATGACTTCGTTGGATGTCCTGCATTTACGTGCTGCAAGAAGTTTTGGCCACCGTCCTTGCATTTTGATCGCCAAAGTTTTAAGTATTGTAGTAAGCATCTTGTATGCGAATATTTTGTTTCGTTTTGGGATGTTTATCAAAAGTATAATATGGTAAATCGTTCTAGCACAAGGGCGCATGGAAAATATGAAGGCAACATAGTGATTTGCTAGCGGAGGCAGTTAAAGTAGGCTGTAGAATGTGCTGTGCTAGACTTGGCGCGTTCACAAATTTATAGCTCCAAACACGACCACTAATTTACCGTCCTCGTTGAGTCGGACTTTTCAAACCCTTAAATTCATGAGCAGCAATTCTCTTTCGTTCATTCAACAGTTTACTGCACATTTTTATGGGTGTATGGTTTCGCCAAACCGTATGGTATAGGCGGCATTGTCTTTAACATTCGATTTCTCTGAGTGACTTATTACGGATGTATCCAGATGACTGTTGGTGTGTTTATTTCACTTCTTTACGATTTTTGGTTTGTTCCATCTTATGCGCTTATTACCAACAGTACCTGAAAATATTTTGAGGATTGTTAGCTTTTGTGATGTCTGGTTATCGTCGACGGATTTCTTGACACGTTAAAGGTGATCGATGAACTGAAAATTAACCAGTCACACGCTCATTTATCGTTGTGTTCTAGTTAATTTGGTTTTTCACCTTTACGGCCTTGCTTATTTAGCAGGTACGATTCGATGGAAATCCTCATACTTGTCCTTTCTCTGGATGACAGTTAGTTTAACAGCAGTTCTCGCAGTCCTGGAATTCTCATCCATCTGTATGCTTGGCTCCTAATAATTTAATGAAGTCAAATATGAAGGGCGTAGTTATTAGCCACACCCTAGGCCGTTGAAGCTTGAAAGCAGCGAGTTAACTGGAAACAGACCTAGGTTAGGTTTATGATGGAGGGTCTGCTTCTTCATTCCTTTTTTCGGTTAAGGACATCCAATCAGTAATGAAACACTACCGAATTGAATTCTTTTTTGTCCAGAGCATTTTTCTGTTTATGGTTAAAACAAGGATATTTTTGCTGGGTTTCATGTTCTTCTGTGTACTTATATGAAAAAATAATAGTTTATAGGCGTCAGTTAGTGTCTATGTCTGCAGTATCCACGTGCAGTACATTGGCACATGTTTGGTCTATCGATTTAAATTTGGCTGGGTACACTTTTGACTAAAAGGCGTCATCCGATATTTCCCTATTATATTATCTTTAGCTCTTGGATGCCTCAGACGTCTCCGAAAAGACTGCCTCCCAACTTTACCTGTTCTCTGAACGCAGGCTGATCGAGTATGCAGGCGCATGTCGTTCTCTTCAGCGACAGCTCAGTATCCTTCATGATGAAAAGGTTAATCGCTATTCCATTCTCCTTTTCTAAACGTTGACACAGGAGGCCGCTGTGCTTGCACTTGAGCGTGAACGTGCGAGGTCGCAACAACTAGGCGAGGAGGCCCAAAAACTTCAATCTCACCTCGACATAATTCGTCAGGTGTTACGTGACAGTGACTTAGATCAGGCCAAACAGCGTCTCGCTCAGTTGGAGTGGAATATTTCTGATTGGCCCCCTACCTCACCTAGAGACAGACGAAGGGAACATTCTGCCGGTTCCTTGCTAGATCCTGGAAATGCCTCCTCAAGTTCTGACACCGGCGACAACAGCGAGTCCCATACGTAAGTTACTGATTTCGAACTTTCTGCCCGAATCCGGAATTCCAAGAAAATTTTCAGCCTGTTCCGCTTCCCTTCGCCAACAACTTTTTCTAAAAATAACATAAGATCACTTTCCTCCAAATAGAGAGTCCTTGGGCAGGAGAGTCACAAGGGAAAGCATGAGCTCGCGATCGTTTTTCAATTGTCGCGCAGAAAACAGAGGCACCGTCTTTCAGAAAATATCGCTTTGTTTAAATGGCATAACCCGGAAGTACTTCATGTGTTCTTTTCTGAAAGCACCTCTTCCCGAGTTGTTCATTTTCTAGTGATGCTGTTGACCAACATTGAAGTATAGTTTGAGTTAAGCGTACATCGGTATTTCTGAACCACCCCTGTTTCTATAGAAATGTGCTGTCAAGGAGGGTCAGGTACGTATCCCGCAGTGTACTCCGGAGCAACGGTACTTTAACTGCGGCGTTGGACTTGGCTAACTACCGGAATCTTAATTAAGCCCTGGAGGTAGTTGGTACGCCCACAAGTTTATGAGGGGTATAGAGACGTGGGGCTTTATTTCGAGTCTAGCACCGCGCCTATCTCAACGCGTTGGTACTGCGCCAGTCCCCCCTACTTTACCCGTTCCTCTCTTGACTAAAGTTGTTTGTGTAAGGCGGTTATTGAAGTTTCACGCTTATTTCTCGAGAATTTACCTCAAAACTCAAAAAAATGAAGTTGTGACAAAAATGTACACGTCCCTGTGGTTTCACAGCGCACTATGTTTGCAAGAACTAGGGGATTCTCGGTTTGCTAGCA